CCCCACAGTCTGGAAAAATGGACCCCCAGACTCACTTTTGCCGCACAAACTCCTCCGTCACCAACTTCTTGACGTCGCCGAAGACCTCGTGTCGTTCCCTGAGGGTGGTGGGGTTAACGAGGGGCAGCAGCAACAAGACCTGTCCCCCCCCATTATCTGTGTATGCGCATGTGTCCCCCAGTATCCTACCCTGGTTGCACCCGGAGCCGGCGGAGAAATTCCCAGACAGCACCTGGAAAAGGGGGTGTCAGTGGTGGTGGGGTGGCACTAAGGGGGAGTGGGGTACGGAAAGGGGGGGGGGCCTCACCATCTTTGGCCGTGTTGCCCTTCATGAATATGAAGCTGAGGATGATGAGGAGGAGCCCTAGCTTTGCTGTCTGGTTGTCCCTGCAGCAGACAGAGATGTGTGCCACCCACATGAGCAGGGGACACACACTGATGGGGTCTGCTCCCCCCCTCCAAATCACCCAGCAGTAGCCCCTCACCGGTGCAGGTTCTCCCCCTCGGCGCGGGGCAGGTCACTAGTGAGGATGTAGATATGGTGTTTGGTGTCAATCTCCACCAGCTGCAACCCAAATACCTGCAAAAAGCAAAGGGTTAATCTAGCAGGGAGTTGTTGTTGTTCCCCCCCACCAAAATATCCCCCCCCCCACCTGCTGCAGGGTCTTGCCTGCCCGGTTGACAATCTCTGAGTAGACATCTTTGTATTCCCGGATGACTTTCTTCAGCATATCTACAGGGAAAGGGGAGGAAATCCCTGAGAGATCCTGGATCCCTGAGCTCCCCGAGGGCACTAAGGTTTCTGGGGTCCCCTAAACTCACCTGCTCTCTTGATGGGGATTTTTTTCTGGTCTTTCACAAGCAAGAACTGAACCAGTTCGCTCACCTGCGAGGCAAAGATGGGGGAAAGGCTGAGAACTAGGTGATAACAGAGAAGATAAAATACATCACTCCAGGAGAGGGGATTGCTTCGACCCACCTTCTGATTCACTTGATCCTGGGAGCGCCTCTCCAGGTTCCTCTGCACCTGGCTGTGCGTTGGCATAAAATCCTCATCCCCATCACCGCCCTGAAGGGAAAGACCAAGAAGATACTGCTGCTGTGGAGGGGGAACCCCACACTCAGGTGGGAAAGGGAAGAGAGAAGGCAGAGATGGCGAGGAGGCAGCCTTTTACCTGAGACAAACCCGACCCTTTACTGCGCTTCCTCTGAGACATTTCTCACAGCAGCTCTGAGGAGAAAAGAAGCGCCAGGAGGGCTGAAACTGCGAAGAGACATTCCTCACATCCCCTCCCCGCTTCTCCCGCTTCAACCAGGCCACAAAACCTTCCCTCAACCCCCCCCCAGGCCCGTTAAAACGACCCGGACCCGCCGCCGTTACCCGCTTCCCTCATACCGCGCCTGCGCGCCGGCTCTCCCTTTGCGCATGCGCCCGCGGCGGCCCCGCCTACACCAACGCGCCCCGCCTCCTATTGGCCCGAGCACCTCCTTTCTCCCCACCCACCCCCTTTTTGTCGCACCGCGATTGGGCGAGCGGCCGCCGCGCTTAGT